CTCAATTGTAGTTACAAAAATATCTCCTGTTTTCGTGCCGCTTCTTATCAACAAATAGTTGCTGCTCAAAAAGTCGTCAATACAATGTTAACATCATTAAATATTTTACTTTTCTTTGAACCATGGGTACCTGTTATTGATAATTCAGTTGTATATGGACAAGTTATTGATATTATTCAAAATGTATCATTTCCATTAAAACCACTTATTATTGGTACATTAACTGAAGAAGCTGTACTTTATATTTATGAAGGCTGGCACAAACCAGTCTATCCTAAACAGTATATAGAAATTCTTCTTGCTACATTTAATCAACATGCTTTAAAAGTTCTCGAACGTTTTCCACCTCAAGGAACTGGCGATCAGCGTCTACTTCTTGCTGATGTTGGTACTCGTTGGGTATTTGCTTGTTCAACTCGTGTATTTGCTCGTAAAGCAGCTACATATACATATGTTTTTGGATATCCTCTTGATTTTGACGGTTGGGATAATTTAACATTTTGCATTGGTCATGTCTGTCATGGTAGTGAATTACCATATGTATTTGAATCAGGTTGGGTCAATTTTACTGATGCAGGTCGAATATTAGCAACAAATTTAGTAACTTATTGGACTAATTTTGGTAAAACACATGATCCTAATCAACCAGTGACACCATCATTGTTATGGCCAAAATCATCAATAGTTAATGAGCAATATATGTATTTTCAGAATCCATTGCAAGTCGAAGAAAATTATTTAAAAGACGATTGTGACTTTTTTGATAAGATTGGTTATAAATATTATTATCAATAGACAAGTAGCCAAGGAAAAATAAGACCAGCTTTGAATTTTTTTCTTGCATATTGTTTATTAATTGTATCTTTTTAGCCTATTTTTCTTTTCATTGATTTTAGCGTCTGTGTGTGTGTGTAATTTCAAAATACAAAATATAAAATCATCAATTTTATTTTTTAAACTTCTGATTCAAAGATTAGTTTCCATGGTACAGAAAAACTTAACAATAAAATAAGAGAGGCGAGCGATATACTGAATTTATTTGTTTTGATTAATTCTTTACTTTTCGTTCATCACTGGATCGTCCATTTGTAGAACGATTACAGCAAATAAAGGAAGAATGCGATTTGAAAACGATAAGAACATTTTTTGTAATGAACTTCATGAACTATTAACCGGTAAAAAGAACATTTCTTTCATCGCTTTGTCTTTTAAATTTTCAGTCTACGAAATCGATAATTTTGAAAAAATGGAAAAACTGAAGCTTTTCGCTACACGTTGTCCTCAACCTATACTTAATAGAGACCTTTTGAGATTTCTGTGTCATATAAATTCACAAAGAAACTCATTAATGAGTTGGATATATTTTGAAAGCTTCACGCTAACTCGACGAATCACACATAATAAGACATACGATTGACCATTGAACCATTCTTGGACAACCAAGAACAAAGCCAATATATGTATTATAAACCTCAACTAATGAGAACTTGAAAGGTTATTTATTATAAATCAAATTTCTCCAGAAGTTACTAAATAGTTCAAAGCAAAATAAATATATTTTTTTAAGAAGACACGTCAAAAACACATGTAGCCTTTTGATATTCATTTATATTGGTTTACCTTTCCCTCTTTTTTTTATATTACTACAATAATATGGGATTGACGTCGCTTTCACCCACTCAATAATTTAGTCAAAGAAAACAGTCAAGACTTAGTATATCGTTCAATTCTCTTTCTCCAATACACGATCATTTAACTTATCAAACGGCCTTACACAAAGATATGAACAATCGATGAATCAGACCACATCATTAACATATTAGACAAGCTAATACTCTATTTATAACGTTGTTTGATCAATATTGTTAAATATTGCGACTAGGTTCTCTAGTGAATATTGAATAGCATTTATTTTTTTCTACGAGCTACTGAGAGTATAAATCAGTTGTGGTTGAAAGGTCATCTCCTTCATTTGAACGATAGAATTTACAACAAATATTTTTCTTTCTTGCAAATTTGACTGATTATATAAGACATTGATTGTCGAAAAATTACCAACAGTTATTCAAGTTTATAAACAAGAACATACACATTTGTTACAATAAAAAGATTGAAGGTATTTGAGAGTAACTTATCTAGGCGATTCAGCATGAATAATTATCATTTGTTGACTGCAACTTGTATATTGAATTACTTGAATAAATATAATGTATACATCATATTGATTTTCTTCAAGTTTTTTTCTTCAAAGAACAAAATGAAACTCACTACACTATAGGATAAATGAGTTTGATTATTCGCAAGTAGAAGAAGAAGTTAATAACAGAAGACAGATAATTTTATTTATTAATAAGACGAAGCGTAAGATATCATGAACTATTTTTCTTAAAACAATTAGCCATCGTTCTTAATTAGATATTTATATCTGGACTATTTCTTGAATTTGTTTATTTCAGTAATAGTTTTAATAGCTCGGTTTCCGATTTTATTAATCTAAATGCTTGACATTGAACACATCTCATGAAAAAAATAGAATGAAGATCATATCTATTAAAATGGAAACTACTATGTGAAAAACAATAAGAAATGATTCTAAGTATAAAATCAGAAAGAAAAAATTTATCATAATTCTTATTTTTAAAACTCTTCATCAACTTTTCAATAGAGCTATTTTGGTTTTTATCACATCAACACGTTATCTTCAGAGGAAAAAATAGAGCACATTTTTAGTATTCAGTAGAATTTTTTGTTTTTGTTCAATAATAATTACAAGCTACTTTATATATAATATTCAACGCAGAATTTAATGGTCTACGTTTTGATAAAAAGTATCGACTCACATATTAAAGTTTTAATTGCATATTAATTAAGTATTCATAATGAATAACTCTAATTTCTAGGTAATACTTTCGCTTTAGTTGTTGACTTCCACGAATAGCATAAGAGATAACATCAAAAATAAAATAAAACTGTGTACTTTTAGTTTCGATATGAATCATTTTATTGAGAGACTTTTGAGAGTATTTACCAATTTTCAGTACATATAATATTTATTATTTTGAAATAAATTCAACTATGAAATGAAACTTTAAATTTGAAAAAAAAAGCTGGTATATTTTGAAAAGCAAAATCTACTCTTTCTAATGAGGTCTTGCTGCTCTCTTTGCAATATACTATTAAAGTGTTACAAGGGTTTGAAATTATGGTAAGCTAAATAGCAAAAAATGGCACGAAGTCATGACTCTAATTATCTTTTAAAACTTAAGATGCTGTGACATGTTAACAGTATATTGTAAAGATAGTAGCAAGATCTCATTTGAAAGAGTAAATTTTACTTCTCAAAATATGTTTGTTTGTCTGAATTTAAAGTTTCATTTCATAGTTGAATTTATATAAAAATAATAAACACAATGTGTATTGAAAAATATCGACACTATCGAACGTCTCAATAAGGTCATCACTGTCGAAACAATAATTACATAGTTTTATTTTATGTTTGATGTTCTATTGTATACTATAAGTGGAAATTAACAATTAATGCCAAATGTTGCCCTAGAATTTTAAATTATTCATTATAAATACGTGATTAATATGCAACTAAAATTTTAATATGAGAGTTGATATTTTTTTGTTACAATTAAATCCATTGAATAAACAGAAACTCTGCTGAATGCTGAAAATGGGTTAAACCTCTTGACTGAAAAGAAACGTTATTTGTGTAAAATAAACCAAAATAGTTTCACTCAAAAATATTATTCTCAATAAACTCACGTTGATGAAGAATCTTAAAAATAAAAAGAATAATCAATCTTTTTCACTTAATTTAGCTGAAACGGTATTATGAAAATAGACTTTTCTCAAACACAGCTTATAAGAGCTGTTCTATAGTCTCATATATTCTTGTATGACTAAATATTTAGAATTCATATGGTAGACATAATACCTATCAGGCGTTCGTATTTCTACGTGCTCAAGCCTAAACAATAAGAATAAGATATACATATACACGTGTCAAACACCAGTATTTATCATACTTTCGTATGACTTAGATCAGATTTCAGATTATGATGTTTACAAAACACAAGTATGACGATGAGATTTCATTTAGTCGTATAAGACAATTTACTGTGAAAAATAATATCGAGTTGAAACTTCTTAAATATAAAACTCGATATTAAAACATTGATCAACATTTCGAAATATTTTTATCATATTTCCATTTCTTTCATTTTTGATGTCACCAAAAACAAGTACAGCAAATAATGAAAGATTTTGTACGTTTACACATGAATGAAAATTGATATAAACATCTGTTCTTCTTTGTAATTGGTTAATAAAAGAGTTCTGTCATGTTTTTGATTTCAAGGATTATTCATAAGATTCGACAAGACATAATTAAACTATATTATTATGATGTCATTGATTGGATTGATCATACTTTGAACACTGACATGAATTGGCAAGTACATTCTGAATGTAATAGTGTTGACTACCTTTGTAAAAAGTTCTCGTAGGACAAATATGAAATGATAAACAAAATAAGTTGACATATGCTGTCTTATTTTCTGCAAAAGTTAATTTTCTTAAGCTACTAAAGAGCTAATCACCATGTCAACAACGTACATCATCAATAAGAACTAAATTGATTCTATATTTCTTATTAAGTGTGATAAAATTTATCAAAAATGTAATGCTCAAAATTATTTTATATTCAAACTTGTATTTAATTTAACAATAATGACTGATAGTAGATTATAATAGAAAAATCATTAAAACAAGTAATTTAAGATTAAATATCGTGCTGTAATCAATAGTCTTCTGCTGAATAGATTTACGAATTTTTTCATGTGACGATTATTACTAATAGAGTCTTTTAAACTTTAATACCTATTTAGTAAAAGACACAGCGACAAAATTTATTTTTATTTTACAAAAATGTTCATTACACTGAAAAAAAATGAAATCAACGACACTATTTATATTTAATTAGAGATATCCGTTTAATGAAGTACTCCTATATGTAAATGATTTTCTTGATTATTGTTGCTTACGGCATTAACTTGAGCATATCTATACAATGGTACCATTATTGGTATCATTTTACCGAGTTCTCGTCGAAACTCTTTACCTACAATCAAGTACCAAACTATGGGCAATGCATAGGATGAATAAATTGGAATTCGAATAATCGTTTGGATAAGAATAAAAGGTCTAAACATGTTTGGTCGAAGTAATATTAAATATTCGATCCATTCTGATAGATTGAGCACAATGTGAGCAACAACAAGTAAGAAAAACATATCTGTTAAATGATATTCCATACGACGACACCTCGAAACGGTTATGGGCAAATCACCAATCACTTTTCTATTCTGAATTGTTAATCGAGTAAATATTATCATAAGAATAGGTGCAATAATAACAAACAGAATTAGTTCAATGATTAAATGAAATTGATTATAAATTGTATTAGCTCGAATACTGCATCCGAGTCCATCCATTGCTTTAAAATCTGTCACAATTAAACTACTGACGGCGATGATTGCACAAAAAATAGTAATTGTTAAAATTGTCCAATGCATTACGTGAAAGCTATTGAATCGACGATATCGAGCATTCATTGAATTAGCACACCATCGATCAACAGCCGTAAATACAATAAGATAGTGTGAAAAGCCGGTACAAAACGTATTTATAAAGCTAATGAAATGACATAGAGAAATAGAATTTATAAGTATTTGAATTTGGAATCCATCAGTTAATAGATGATAGATGAGAACGATCAATGAATAAATGGCATTGTTAACAGCAAGGGCACAATAGTACCACGAACAGACATGATGATTGAAGACAGGTCGAATGAATACAGCTATGTTCACAATATTACCCAAAATACCCAAAAATATAATTGTAAGAATGATCCATCGATTCAACTGACTACAGATCTCTTCAATTGGATAAGCCATTGTTTATATTATTAACTAATATATGTGTGTTATGTTATGATTTGCTTATGAAGTATGTTTTTCAGCACGATTTCGTAGTAATCAGTATTAAATCTGGAATAGACAAAGCATTTTTTTATACCAAGTACATAGGTTCTCATTTTGTTTTTGGAATGGAAAAAATAATTAAATTATGTTCAAGACATTCTAAAAAGTTTTTTTTTTCTCTTTCTCACCATGAGATATATTTACGACTTTTAGTTTGCTAATATCATTGCCATTGTTAACAAAAAATGTCTGTTTTTTTTTTACTCGTCTATCAAACTAATCATCTTCTGTCAAATTCGACGGAAAACATAAGATAATTATTTTTTTCTTTGAACTATCTAAATTAGTCTTTGCTCGGAAAAAGAAACCACTTCCAAATGTTAAGCTCATTTTTCTTTTTATAGAGATAAGACATGATGCAGGAAATATTGTCAAATTCTTTTCATTTGTACTTTTGAAGATGAATGTTTTTTTTTACTTCTGTTATAGAATATGACATTATTCATTTAGTTGTAAGTCATGTATGGTAAAAATTATTAAATATTCTAGTGTATATTCATAATAAATGTCATCTTATAGTAATAACATATTATATAATGCTGCAATTAATATAAAAAATAATGTAAGATTATGCACTGAAATACATGAAAATGTTTTTTTTTTGCTTTTGCTTTTGCTTGAATATTAATTTATTATTTTATTTTATGTTTCCTGCATTGAAATTTATCAAAACAAGAGGCCCCATCCAGGTTAGATGGATGGCATAAAAAATAATTCATAATAATGTTATCAATTTTCAAAAATCTTATACATATTCGCTGAGCAATAATAAATAGATCATTTCTAATGAGAGAAGTTGCATGAAGAAAATATATACTAATAAGATTTTTTTTTTTTGAGAGCTGTCGATAATGGTTTGGTTGCAAATAGTACATTGATTTCTGTTTTTGGACACGGTACTTTTATTAGTTTTCAGTAACTTTTTATTGATATATTCAATGAAATAATGATTTAGAAAACAAAAAATATAATGAAAAAATAGTTTCTTCACACAATATTTGTTGACTTATGCATGTATTGATGGATTTTCTACTAACATTACAAGACAAATCAAAGTAATCTTTTCACTATTCATTGTATGTAGAATAAATTAATATATATTAAAATTATAGGAAAGTATATTATAGCCATTGTTTTAAGCTAAGAACTAATTTTAGATTCATTTTCGAATATGACGAAGAGACAAGGTGGCGGTGGAAGGAAGAGACGCTTGCAAACCTTTTTTATCAATAAAAAGAACAAGTTTTACTGAGAAAAACTGAAAATCTTTGCACTCTAAAATCTCGTATCCATTGAATCATCCTTTCCATCGTCACATCTCTGAATTCTATAAACGACTTTTTCTATGCTAAAGGTTCGATATATAAGAATAGAGTCAGTAAATAGATAAAGAAAAAAAGTGAACCTGAATATTAATCAGATTAAATATAAGAATCAAAAATGAACCTTACGGAAGTTTTTCATATGTTAGAAAATCGTGAGTTTTCTAATCCGTTTTATAAAGAAAGAAACAATATTTGCGGCTTATCAGTATCCAGGTGTTTGGTACCTTAATTGTAAGTAAAACTAAATACATGTAGAAAAAGAAAATGATTTGTATAAATCTTGAACTAATAAAAATGTTCGATATAATGAGAGAATATTTACATCTATATTCAAATGCAGATTGATTTTCTTTTTACAACTTCTAATAACAATCATCACTTAATCAGTATCTTGCATGATGAGAGTTATATAAGATAATTTCACAATAAAGCAAACTCATATAGATATATAGTTGCTTCCGAAATTATTTACTCAGTTTTATTTTCAATTTTTTGCGACTGTTGTAACCATTCATAATAGTTGAAACCAATGACCAAGGTTTTCAGTTTCTAGAATTTTCAAATTAAAATTCTATTTAAAATACATAGAATGATAAAGAAAACGATTCTCTACAAAATGAAATATCTTCCAGCTCCCTCTCTGTGTAGGGTTTTTCGACCGATATACATTTTTATTTGGAAATTCTAGAAGCTGAAAAAATTTAGTTTTTCAAAGACTCTATCCATGAAAAGCTAGCAATCATTTTCGTTTTTACGAAAATTTTTATTGAAAATAAAGTTCTCTACAAAAAAAAAAAAAAAAAAAAACCTATTGTTTAGATTATTATTAGCGGTTACGATAGTGGAAAAAATTTGAAAATAAATCTGAATAACTAATTTTGGTAGTGACTGTATGTCATTATTACCAAATTTTTCTTGCACAGAATTTTTTAAAAATTAATAAATAGCTATTACGAGTTAATTTTTTTCAATGTATTAAAATATCATTACATTACAAAAGCTGCATGTTTCTTCACATGTATCTTTATTTTGATCTCGAATTGAATAAAATATCTCTGTGATAAACTTATTTTAATACCAGTAAAAAAAATAGATAACAGAAATATTTCTCTATTATCTACTGCAATCAACATAGAATATAAAAACGTTGAGATATAAAAAAAAACAAGCACACATTGCTTTGTTCTTTTATCCAATACAACACAGACACATACATAGCTTGTTGTTTTTTTCTTTCTTGTAGCAGACTGGTCGATCAATACGTTGTGTAATTGCACAACTTCAATTATGAAACAATTTATATGTCTGTTCGAAAAATAAATGCGTAGCGTACGACGCTCCGGAGATGTAAAGTATACAAAAAAATTCGTAAAAGGTATGAAAATACCATAAAAAGTATAAAATCTGTAAAAAATGGTATAAAAAGTATAAAACCGATGCCCCGAATGGTTACATACAGTTCGGTGAGCTGAAAATACCAAAAAAAAACAGACAAAAAAGCCTCCGGCTTTTTTTGAGTTTTTCAATCAGAGTATTTGATTAAATGATATTTTTATCATTATTCTGTCAAAAGTTAATTCAATTCTAAATAAATAATAGAATTTTTCGAGTAGCATATTGTTGTTACACAATAAGTACTTCCATTCACTTGTCAATAAGATGCTTCAGAATAAATTTAAGATCCACAAAGTCAGATAGAGAAAAAGTATTTCTATGCAGGAAAAATGATCATTTTATATTGTTAATAGTTAATGAATTTGAAAATTTCTTATATGAGTTTTCATATTTGAGAAACAACAGAATCTATGATGTCGTTATATATTCTATCTCGAATATAATATTCTAATGATGATTCTATTTACATTAAGATGTTATATCTGATAGTGACACAATACTTAAGCATGGTATAAGAAATAAATTAAAAATACAAGATAATAACTTAATTTGAATAAGTGCACATTGACATTAAAAGTTGAGCAGAATTCTTATTCAATTAAAGTATAAGTCTCTTATTATTACATAAAAAATCGATATTAGTTGCTATAGATAAACTCATATGTCGATGTATGATTTCAAATACTATAGATAGTCAAACATGGATTGATATTTTAAATAACAAGAAAGAATAATGAAATAATCTATGTTAGAGAAATATATGAATTATGATGCATGAGATCAAAAATTATCAAAGCTTTTGAGCAAATTAAAATAAATTATTTATCTAAGTTAAAATATCAGAAATTGAATAATTGAATTTTCATTATGAATAAAATATTTTATCTACTATCATTTCGAATAAATAAGCACAGACAGACACAAAGTAAAAGATAAATATACAAGAACGACTGAAACATATTACAAATATATCATTGTTTCGTCGTTTGTATCTTGAACCATCTAAAGATAAAATTTTCATCAAATATTCTAAAAAAGAAAATAAAACATACAACTAATGGTAGAGGTGTTCGTTTTGATCGTCTTTTAGATTTACGTTGACCAATTGTATTATATGCTGTTTTACCATGATGATTTTCCATATTTAAAAGAGATGAATTCGGAGTTGATGTCATTACCTTAACGAAAATCGAATGATAATTTATTTCTATTGATTTTTCTTACTTTAATTTGACCATAAACATTTTTCATTGTATGTAAAAGTGAAAAATCCAAAGATTGATCACCTGAACATGCTGGTGGATGAATAGGTAATTTCGGAGAAACTGATGGTGGTGGTGGTGATGAGTGTAATAAACGAAGAGGAGAAGAAGCAGGAGGAGGAGGAGGTGGTGGTGGTGGACGTGGTTTAACTCGAGCAGGTTGTCCTACAGTATGACTTGTTACTTTATTCAAGAATTTTCTTGCTATAATAGCTGCTGGTGTTTTTACTGCACGTCGTGCTGCACATGTTATTGCTGTACCAAGAAGAAATGGTTCTTTATTGACTATACGACAAGGCTATAAAAATAAATTCTATGTAATCAATTAAAATAGACAAATATATAATATACAGTAGTCACTGGTGTTCGTGATCGAACTGGTGTAAGACCTAATAGACGTGATGTTGTTGGAGTTCTTCCTGGTGTATTCAATGGCATTGCTATAGATGGTACTTGTTGATGAGCTTCATCAAACTTTTGTCGAATAGGTACGTTATCATACATAAATAATGGATCGTTATGTTCAGATAAAATATTTAAAAATTCT